CTCTCTCTCTCTCTCTCTCTCTCTCTCTCTCTCTCTCTCTCTCTCTCTACACCCCCCATACCTGCAGTCCGTCACCGCGTATCAACGCAGAGTCGTGACCCCCGCTTGGTCCGAGCATGCAAGCCAGGCTCGCCCGTGCGGCACAGTCTGTCGCGGCCCCGCACGTCAACCCCGCATACCCGACACCAGCTCGTCGGATCGTCCAACTCTCGCACTCACTTACCTTCCAAACTTGCTCGTTAGCCGACCCTCCCTGATCGCGCTAACCTCGAAATTCTTAGAGAGCAAACTAATCGCGCTTGCGGAACTTATAGCATGCATGCCTACGCGAAAGGTACGATATTAAGCCCAGGTGGACAAGAGGAGAAGAGAGGAAGTGCCTACGTCTTGCATGGCCAGGCCGTGGCGTGGGGGTCGTAACCGCACTCCACGCATCGATCCGGTCATGCAGGCGCTCCGGCCAATTAGAACAAAGTACATAAGCCGAGAGGGAAGGAAAAGGCGGACAAACACGAGGAAAACAAGAAAGAAGAAAGATACAATTACAATTGCGCCGGTAAAAAATGACAGTTGCGCAAGATTAAGGGCGCGATCCAGTCAGAGCCCAATTCCCAGTATAGCAAGATGCGCGCAGGCATGGCGCAAAAAAATTCAGAGTACCTAAATTCCTAGCCTAAGTCCTAATTGCAAAAGAAAATTCCGAATAGGCAAAAGAAAAACAATTCCGCGAGCCTGTGAAGGCTCGACATCAATTGAAAATTCAAAAAACGATATTCCCGCGCAATGATTGCGCCAAAATTCCTAGTGCTCACAACAGAACAAGAAAGAAGCCATGGTACAGTTATTTCTCACGCTCGCCAAGGCCCGGCTACCCAACCGTTGGCACGGGATTTTCCCGACACCGATCCGACAACTTCCAGCAGAAAACAAGAAGAAACTAGTGCATCCATGCAACTAGCCCGCCCGACCCTTCTTCCCGCAGCTCATCCATTCGACCCGTCGTATTTCCCCAAGCAGTGTCGAGCAGAAAGTCGCGCGATTACAAAAAATTGTCCGTCACATATGTGACGCCGAGGGGGTTCCAATCTTGAGCAAGCTCCTGCTTGCTCTCTCATCAGGCGCCGATCAATTGTCCGAAGATCGACGCAGAGCTGACACGTGCCACTTACCGTAGGATCCGAGTGTGGAAGTCATCCAATGTGGCATGCGTGCGCTCAATCCAAAACGTTGCCCGGGAAGGGTAGTCTGATTACGGATGGGGGAGGTTGTGGATAGGCTAAGGGGAGAAGAGGCATGAAGTGGTAAATTTCCTCGTCACTGGAGGGGAGTGGAACGAAATGGATGGAGCGATGGATGCGGGGGAAGCGAGGGTGTCGGCGTTGATGGGGGAGAGAGGCGAGGTAGTCAGGGTAGAGAGTGCAGAGGGTGTGGCGGATGGCAACGCGAAAATTGTCATACTCTTCGCACGCGGGGATCGTGCCCACGATGACACAATATACTTCTTTACTATTGTACTCCTGCCAATCCACGCTGAAGAGAAGGACGTAGAGGGGGAAGGAAGTGACGAGCGAACGAGTAGTAGTGTGCGGGAAGATGGTGACCAGAAGGCGGGTGGTGTAGCGATGATGGAAGAGGGAGGGTGGAAACGGCTGCCACGTATCAGGGAACGGGGGTCGACCTACGAGCTGCTGAACATTGAGGAAGTGACGGGGACGGCAGGATAATGACCGGGGACGAAGCCCGAGCGCCCTCATCTCGACGTAGATGAAGGGTTGGGCTGGGAACTGGGGAGGATTGCGAGGGCGATTCGCTTCATCGCGCGGCAGCGGCTCCTTGATCCCTCTGCGGCGGCGGTTCCATCCCTCTCGTCTTCTTGCCGCTGCGGCTCCGGGTTGAGTGTCGGATTGCCCTGCAGCAGTTGCGGCGACGGCCCTGATTCTACGATCGGTCGCTTGCCTTCCACGACCTCTCACCGCCTTTGAGCCGCAGCTTCCCGTTCCTCCCTGGCTAGCTCGGCCGATTCACCTGAATCTCCCGACGCGTCTTCTTCTTCGCCTGCCTCCTCCTCTGAACCGGCTTCTTCCAACCCTTTGTCCTCCGATCCTCGATAATCGGGATCGGATTCCCGATCTTCTTCCTCTACCGATGCTTCCTCTTCGTCGTCCTCCTCCTCTTCTTCACTCGTTTCTCCTACGGGGGCGCGCCGGATGAGCGGGTCCCACAGGGAAAGATCGGTGACGTCGACGTGTAAATACACTCCCGTCGAAGGCACGTAGTAGCTTCCCTCCCCCAACTTCGTACACGTAGACCACAGAAGATGTGGTTCCAGCGTGCGAATGAGCATAGCTGTCCCCGGCTTCTCGTCACAGCGCGAGAGAATCTCCAGTGGCAGATGGTCGAGTACTTGGCTCAAAAATACCAGCAGCTCGTCCGTGATGGACACCAGGTGGTCGTCGCGCACTTCTCCGAATAGGATCCCCAGAAAATCGCCTTCCGTATCCGTTCTCCAAGCTTGGACGAGCAGCAGCTCTATGTCATCATCGGGGATCTCGTCCTCTTCGCATCTGTAAGAGGGCTCCGCCCAGTGGAAGACGACGCCGAGGAGACAAAAACTGAGTGCCATGTATGCTTGCCACCAATGCGTCTACTTGACCGCGTCCAGAATCGGCACGTCCAATTGCCTGATCGTGAAAGACAGAGACGCTTCCATGGCAAATTGCCAAAACGCTGGAACATCAGTGGGAAGACTGAAGATAGAGAGACGGTGACGGTTCATTGAGGCCGAGCGAAGGGGCGAAGCACTGGGAGGGCAACCTCTAGTGCAGTGGAGGAGACTCGAAGTTGGAGATTGATGTCGTTCGTCGTTACGACACGATCTCGTGGTCGAGGTAACAGTCGCACACACTCAGTCGTAAGGCTCGCTGCCCAGCCCCGCAGTTGTCGAAAGACGGCAGTATGCCGCGTGGGGTGCAGTGTCGTAATGTCGCCTGTAAAGACGACAATGACCGACACGTGGGGACAAGCACAAAAAGGCCGATACCTCCGCCAATACCCATGCCACCCCAGATTGTCTGAATTGGAACTCCGTTGCCGCGTGGATGGCCGCTGTATTGAAGAACGCCGCAAATCGGAGAAGATCCGGACTCAACCGAGGATGCTGCACTTGTCCAATCACCGAGAAGACTCCCTCAGGCACCATCAGTCACTCGCTGATTACCTGCTCCGTCGAAAAGCTCATGGCGATGGAGGCGGAGTCGAAGACGATGGTTGAGAGAGAAAGGAGGATTCTAGAGAGTCGTCGTCCTCGTCTTGACCGAGGGACGATGCAGATGATGGAGGAGAAGGGGAAGAGGGGAGAGGACGAAGGTAGGACACGTGTCGAATGATCGGACGAGCCGATCGACTTCCCGATACCTCCGGTGCAAGCCGCACCATGTTCACCCCACTGGGACCAAGCTCGACTACACGAAATCGCCCGAAGAATCGTGGCGCTAACTTGCCTTGGCGAGCACATTTCCTCACCTGCACGATAATCCCTAATTTATATTGGGGCCGAGGCCCAGCGTTCCCATTTCGGGCCTCGTAGCTCCGACCTGTCTCCCATGGGTCATTTCTGTCATTCGTTGTCTTTTTCGGGCCAGTCGGGGGAGAGCCTTTTCCATCAGCTCTAGGTGGCGTTGGGCCTTATCCTTAATCGCCGCTCTAGTGGTCCATCGCGGAAGGACCGTCTCGTCATTTAGGCTCGGTAGGGCTACACAGGGCAGGCTATTGGTCCGTAGTTGGAAGGGGGTCAGACCTGTGGACTCGTGGGGTATCCCCCGGTGGATAGCCACAATATGGTCCACGATATCGGACCAAGGCCTCGTGTCATTTGCCGCAATGTTGCGTCGTAAAGCGGTCTTAATCACCCGATTGGCGTTTTCTACCAGTCCGTTCGATTGCGACATGTGGGGAGCGGTATTGCGGATAGAGACACCGTGTAGGACTAGGTTCCTCAAAACTTCCCCTCTAAATTCTGCCCCATTGTCTGTTAGGTTCTCCTCGGTGTCCTGGTGTATCCCGAGAAAACGGTTGACGTATCGCGCGATTTCGGTCGCCTGTCGCGTCTTACATGGATACGCCTCGATCCATTTTGAAAAGTGGTCTACAAAAACCAAAACGATTGAATACTCGCAGCTATTCGGTCCAGGGACGACAATATCCGTGGTATCCATACTAACCCTCTGGAATGGCCGTTCGACTACTGTAGGCGTTATCGATATAGGCGACTGAATTGGCGCCTTGTCAGCGACGCAGACCTGACAATTTCGGACGATGAATTTAACGTCGTCACGAATGTTGGACCAGTACCATTCATTTTTATCGATCGCCGCCTCCGTGATTTGGACAGCGAAATGGGCCGCAGTCTCCTCGTGGGCTGACTTAACCCAGTCATACCTTACGAATGGATGCGGGACAGACATCCAAATCCCGCTTCCGTCCGTCTTCCGTTTTTCTAACCGTCCCTCATTCCATCGGTAATCCCGAGCCCTCTCATTGGCCCGTCTCCGGTCTTCCTTTGTGAAGTCTCAGAAAGGGTTTTCGACCACCGTAGCTATCAGGACGACATCTGTCAATACTTCAGCCCTTCTAAATCGTCACGTCGTTTCTAGCCCTTCAGACGTGGCTTTGAGAAATCGAGCTTCCGTCGGGATTTTATCAATGCGACACAGGGGATACAACCAGGGCGTGTCCGTATTCCGGTACTGGATACAAGAACCGTGGGCTCGGAAAACACATCGTTGACAATCTACCCATTCGACATAACCTTCGCCACTCGGCCTCATAGGGACCGAGTAGACTCTCGAAATTGCTTCACAAAAATAGCAAAATTTGTCAGGAAGGGAGGAGAAGGAGGAGGACGAGAGAGGGGAAAGGGGACCTTCGAGATTACCTCCGCGCCCCATCGCCATTGTGTCGATCACCCCTTAGGAGCTCAAGGAAGGATGGCCACTTGTCCGTATTGTGGCCCGCTGACTGGTTCCGGTTCTTTCCACAAAGTGATCTCCTCGCCTTTAGCCACCTTTGTCGGTCGGTGCAGTAGTGTCAATCCGTCTGAGTTTCCGTGCCTCTCCGTCTTCCGATGGACAATGTCGAAATCGTACTGTTGCAGCCGTACTGCCCAACGCCCAATCATGCCCGTGTAATTAGTGAGCTTCTTGAGAGCCAACAGGGGCTCGTGGTCCATGATGAGGAGAAACTTTTGTCCGTACAGATACGGGTGGAAGTGCTGAATTCCCCAAACCACTGCGTAGCATTCTCCTTGGGGAGCCGAATCGTTCCTCCTCTCGTTCAGCACGGTACGAGACACGTACTCGATAACATGGTCGCGGTCGTCGTTCCCCTTCAGCGCTAGGATGTCGGAGATTGCCTCGGGCTGCCAATCTGTGATGAGTATGAATTGCTTGGCTGGGTCCGGTCGAATCAAAATAGGCACCGTAGTTAGGGCTTCCTTTAGAGCGCCAAAGGCCCATTCACACTTCGCGTCCCAGTTGAGGGGCTGGTCCTTCCGTAGTAAGTTCGTCAGGGCCCGTGCGATAGTGGCAAAGCCCTTGATGAATCGACGATAGTACGAAGCCAGCCCCATGAAGGCTCGAACTTGCGTCAGTGACGTGGGAGTCGGGGCGTCCCGAACGGCCGCGACATTTCTCGAATCGAGCCTCAAGCCTCCCCGAGTTACCACGTAGCCTAGGAATGAGATCTCAGAAAGAAAGAACTCACTTTTTTCCAACGCAACCTTGAATCCAGCGTCCCGTAGAGCTCCCAGTATCCACTCGATATGTTGCGTGTGCCCGTGGAACGATTCTGAGTAGACCAAGATATCGTCCATATACACAATGACGCAAAAATTGATCATCCCTTGAGTCAGTCGGGTCTTGTTGACAAAATTTTGGAATGTTACATTCATCGCCCTCTGGAACGTATTCGGCACATTGCAGATCCCCATTGGGCATCGAACCCACTGCCATGTGCCTTCGAATAGGACGAAAGCCCTCTTGGGCCGGTCCTCCTCTTTAACCAGGATGTGATGAAACCCATGACGAGTATCAAACTTACTAAAATAATTAGCACACCCAATCACATCAAGCAAATCGTCAATCCGGGGAAGGGGATACACATCTTTCATCGTGATATCATTCAGTTTGCGATAATCGATGCAAATGCGAATCAACCCGTTTTTCTTCGGTACTAGGACTACGGGAAACGACCACGGTCCCGTGGTTGGTTCAATCCATCCGTTAGTTTCGAATTCCCTAATCCTTTGTAAGGCGGTTTTTCGTTCCGCGAGGGAGTACCTGTATGGTTTGCAGTGGATCGGAGGATGATTTCCGGTCTGAATCGCATGTTGAATGACTAATGATAGTCCGATATCCTTGTCCGTCACACTGATCGCTCCCTGATATTCCTTTAGGCTTTCTGCAATTAGATGGTGAATCTCGTCGGGCACGTAATGTGGTACATGCAACTCATAGAGTTGGCCTAGTATTTGAATGGTAATCTGTTTCGTGTTGATCCTGTCAGTGTTTTCGAGCGGGGCCACGGAGATGAATGAATTGTCCGATCACCAAGAAAACACCGTAGCCAACGTTTGGGCCTCGTTCTCTCGGATCGCCACGTGTTCCTCCGGGGTTACTCCGTCGCGGACATCCTGCCATCGTACGGGTGTTTCCACGATTCTGATCCCGAGATTGTGGTGTCCTGTGTTGCGACGCGCAGGGGGTTCCAAAGCCTCGACCTCGGGCCCTAGTCTCAGCAGTCTTATCTCTTTCCCCTGAGGCAACAGGGAACGGGGTACCTCCATAATATCGCAGACAGCTTCCTTGTCCGGTATCTCGCAAGCAGTGGAGTGGTGCCCTCGTATAAGGTCCGAGGGGGTTCCAAAGAATAGGTCATTAGAGAAATCTGCACAAGCGGTTCGCCCAAAATTAATGCGCGTGTTCTCTGGATGTTCCCTTCCGTGAGATTGAACGTTTTCGTGATTGTTTGTCGAATCGGATAGCGGATGCGTTGCTGCACTAACGCCCGAATCACTAAATCGTCTTCATCGCTATCATCAGTGTCACTGCGTTCCGCAAGTTCCTTCCAAGCGATCATTCGAAGAGTTCCTCCTGGCATCGGGGGAGTTTTCTGGGTTACCTCTGCCACCGTTCTGAGAGTCAATCTCATAGGGATGGCGGGCGGTTTCCCTCCCGTATTCCAAAGGACAATCGATCGTCTTTCAAAATCTAGATTGGCCCGCAACACCGTGAGAGCGGGCAGTCCCAGAAGGACGTTGTACGTGCTTACATCTAATACCACGACATCCCCCAGGGCATGTACCCTTCCCAATCGAAAAGCAACGTTGGTCATCTGTCCCACTGTCTTGATTTTCTCTTCATCCGCGGAGACGAGATGATCCTTTTCTGTTAGCATGATCAAATATTTTATTCTTCCCGCTCTTTCTACTACCCTTAGCGAGATAGCCAAGACGGCGGCTCCGGAGTCGATAATGGCATTGTACGGGACTCCCCAGACCTCGATGTCACATTCGACGGACTTCCACGGGATCGCTTTGATCCGCAGAAAGTGATCATCTTTCTGTATTAGTCCCAATCGTATAGGATCCGACGTACTAGCGAGGTTCGGGTTGTCCTCTTAGACAGGGGTTTTTCCTTTCATGTTCGCCGTTTTGGCAAGGGCGAATCGTTTTCTGTTCGCCTTTCAGTGTTGCAACATGCGCTCGTTAGCTTGTTCCGAGATGGATAACAAATGTCCGATTGGGAGGGGAATGTGATGGTCCAGGGCACGGACGATACTTAGGACGTCTATTTCCCCAGTGACAAAGGTGGGTCCTCCAGACTCCATCTCCCCTGGAGAGGGTCTCCATTCCGCTACTTCTTGCTGCTCATTTGCAGGTCTAATAGTCCCGATCATTCCTTACCCCGGATATCCTAATGCCACTTACCGGTCCAGAGGAATAAGTTACGTCGCTTCCTCAGTAATAGCTAGTGCACTCCCACCTCCTTCCATTTCTTCCAACATCGCTCCTACTCTTCCTGGCCCATTAGCGATGGGTGCCGCGGCCACCGGCGCACCCCCGACTCGGGCTTGCGCAGGTCGATGGGGACAGTCCCGGGCTATGTGTCCCGGTTGGTGACACGTATAGCAGACACTCGGGTTGCCTGCCGCCCCTCCTGTCGTCGGGATTGGGGCCAATCCGGGTTGTATTGGCGCAACTCTTACGGCAATGGGACGCATCGATCTCATTAACGACTTTATCCTAGCGTTATGCTCACGCTGCTCCTTTTTGCTTTTCTGTATCAAAGTAACTAACATTTTCGTCAGTTCCAGTATTGCAGCAGATTCGCTTGATCGTGTAGGGCTTTCGGCGGGGCTGGGGGAGCAGCCATCACAGGAATCGGTGCCCCTGTGATTGCGCCAGGAGCCGACCGTTTAGGTACAATGTGCTCCAGATAGGCGACAGGACCTGACACAAATCCCATGTTTTCGAATTTGTTTTGTAGCGGGGCAAGTTCCGCCTTCGCTCTAGCTAATTCAAAAGAATCTCCCTCCCTAGGATAGTCTTCTCCTTCCAGGAAGCTCGCGGCAAACTTCCGTTCCATCTCTTCCGCGACTGCCATGATCTGTTGCAGCGTGTGGTTAATGGGGGAGAACTGTTTCCACAGTTTCGCCCTCATTGTCCTACTGCGGAGTCCGTCAATAAACAAATCTCTCCCTACCTGCTCTCCCTGCTCAGTTTTGAACTCGATCCTTTGATCATAAAAAGAGCTTGTTCGGGATGAATATAATCGAAACGATTTAGGAAATCTTGTTCGAATGTAGGAAGATCGGTCCAAACATAGGTGTTGAACCAATGATGCGCATCCCCTCCCAATCTGGCGGGGATATTGATCCGTGCTTCATCATTATCGTATTGCTGCGCACGGGGCGTGGCCAGCCATGCCCTCGCGAGGTGATGCGCAAGGTCAAAAAGGTAGAGATCGGGCCGGGCCACAGGTGGCCGTGCTCGTGGTGCTGGTGCCTGATTGGGCTGGTTGGGATTTTGTTGATTGGCATTCATATTGATCGCCTGTCGAGCGGGCGGCCTACTTCTGGTTACTACAGGGTCGCGTCGTGGCGTGTTCCGCCGCCTAGGTCGTCCCCTGTTAGCCAGATCGTTCTGCGCTAAATACCTTCTTGCTAATCCCGTGGGCTTGCCACGTATCGCTCCAATACCAACCTCACGCCCGACGCGATTTCCTGATCGGAGTGGGATGGGGCCCTGGAAGTGCGAAAAAGGGGTGTGCCAAGGATTTTAGGAAAGTGGGGGTGGAGTCCCAGGTCGGAACTGAGATCTCATGTGGCAAGTTTCGGGGTTAAAAGCGCAAGAGGGTATGTGCAGGTCGTACTCGACACTTTAATTTTTATAAGAAGGAAGGTAAGCCACCTCTCATGGTTTGTGCATAGAAGGAAAGCCGCAGATGTCGTGCAGCATAAGGCAGATGGCATGTGTCGTGCATCCTGGACTAGAGATCCCAAGGTACTCTTCCGCAATCACAACACCGACAGATCTAAACACTCTTGCATTCTTGAACAAAATCCCAACAACATTGCCTCTGCCAACGAACTCAACTCAAGAACCCGAAAAATGGTAATCACCATCTCCTCTGGTTTCGCCTTCGCGGTTGGTCACGCCGTTCGACCAGTTGTCGGTGCCGCGCGGCTTTGGTTCGGGCTCGTCGAACGATTTCCGAGGCTCGATATGCCTGGTGCCGCCGACACTATTCGCACGGTTTGCGGGGCCAATAGCAGGCTATGGAATTCCACGGCACCACCGTGAGCTGGTGATATGGAAGGAGGAGGTGAAAGGGAGGGAAATTGGTGGTAATAACGACGAAGCTGGGGGATATGAAATATTGCGTGTTATAAGTATCCGGGTAGTCGGGGCCCCTGGGGTCGTGAGTTACGGCACAGTGAAAATCCCTTGCGCACAATCGGTCTTTCTTTGTCAAATAGGGGAATTCTGGATTTCTTAAATTCCCACGCCGTCTGAGTTGTTTGCTTTCCTTGTATTCTCGATATTCCGAGTCCCTCAAACTCTCACGATCGGACATCCAAGAGGGAATTCCCGCAGCCATATCCGTTGTCGGGACTGGTGGGTCCCGAATAACATCCCGTCACCCGAGAGACGGTATATAGCTTGATTGTGCACGACAGAGAAATCTGGAGTAAGGAGGAAGAGAGATAAAAAACAAAGGATTAGGCCGCAGGAGGGAATGATGCCTTGGGGTGAAAACCGCAGGAAGAAAAGACCAGCAACGGCAAGCAAGTAAGCACGAGGACGGGGGCACATAGAACATAGTATGAGGCCAAGAGGATCGTGGGAACTCAACAAGACTAAGGCCGAGGGGCCGTTGAACCAGCAAAAACAGCACGGCAGCGACAAAGGGATGAGGAAGTCGAGAGATGGACGGCCCCGGAGGCCGTGGGAAGTTAGAGAATAAGGGCCCAACATGGGGGCCACCTACGGGAGCCTCGGGTTAGAGGCCCCGTGACCAAAAGGAACTGGCACGCACAAGGCGCGAGAAAATACAAGGGAGAGGGGTCACCATGGGGCGGAAAACGCCCAAGGAACGTGGGACACCTTGGGGAAAGGCACCCGGGGCCACGTGGGACTAAGTAAAAATAAGGGCATCCGGGATAAAATGTGTCGGGGACCACCGGCGGGACCACCGGCGGGACGAATACCGGCGGGGCCACTAGCGGGACTAGTGCCGGGGACTAGTGTGGACAAGTGGCGGGGACTTGTGAAGTCCCAAGGAAAAATTGTGGCGTGACGAGAGGTGCAAATAATTAAAGCAAGCCGCACCGTCAAGATCAAAGATCTTGACGGCCAAGAATATTAGCGCCACTAGCATAAGCACTAGTGGGAGCAAGCGGGAAGGCCAAAAAAAAAAAAAAAAAACATAGAAACATGTGATGAGAGGCATGGGAGCAATTCGAAAAATCTCGGAATGGCCTCCCACAAGAAAATGGAATAAAAAAGGACTCCATGAGAAAAATAGGCCTCCGGGAGAAAATCGGAGTCTGGGGGCCTACCGTTTGGAAGAGACAAAGGCAAACGGAGACTCTCATGGGCAGGGGAAGGCCACAAGTGCAGTCCGAGAAATAACGGACTCATCCTTGAGTATGGGAAGGGTCAAAACTAAGAGGAAGATCCCAGAAAAGGGCCTTAACAGGTAGTTGACACTTGGCAAGCAAAAGGAAAGAGAAAAAGAAAAGAAAAAAAAAAAAAAAAAAAAAAAAAAANAAAAAAAAAAAAAAAAAAAAAAAAAGGAGGTGAGAGGGAATGAGTGAGTTGGTCGTCAGTAGGGACTGGCAAGTCCCTATTGTCCACAAGTGGAGGGAAAAAAAAAAGAAAAAGAAAAAGAGAAAAGAAAAGAAAAGTCAAAAGAGCACTAACAACCAAAAACGGCCACCTAGGGGTGACATTTGTGACCAGATTCAGTCTGGCATATGTCAATTACAAAGTATCTTGATTTTCTCTTGATTTTGCAGAGAAAATCAAGAAAAACAAGGCCTCATGCAACCGAGATGCAACGGATTGCATGAGGTAGGCCAAACACATGTTTTAGGTGCACCGGGAGCCAAAATGGAGACCGGATGCACTTGGGAGTTGGTCGTTTTCTTTCCTTTCAGTTTGAGGCTAGTTGTGGGGTAGTGGGGCTAGGAAAATGACCCCTAGAGCAGACCGAGTTGCAACGGACTGCATGGGGATGCCTAGCCCAAAGGAAAATGAGCCGCGGCGTGCCCAAAAATGCTAGAAAACGGTGTCGTAAGCCTAAGGGGATATAACGGTAAATGGTGACGGCAAGGTGGGGGTCTCATGGCCGGGAATAATCGGCACACTTGAGACACATGGGAATAATGGTTTGGGACTGTCGGGGACAAGGGGAGTCCCAAATAAAAATAGGACATCAATCGGAGCGATGCCGGGGACTAAACGGACCCTAATAAAAATTGTCGAAAATTGAGATTTTGTCGATGGCGCCGCCGGCGGGACGGAAAAATGGGACTAGCTCGGGAAAGTGGCGGGGACTTGAGGTGTCCCAAGGGAAAACCACAAGCCAATGTGGGGAGTGGAAAGGCTAACGGCACCGTCAAGATGAAAGATCTTGGCGATGGAAACTATTAGCACCACTCGTGCAAGCACTAGTGGAGCCCAAATGGGAGAACTAGCGGTAAAAAGAAAAGAAAAACGGGAGATGGGAGGGCTGCCCAGCAATCTGGGATATCTCGGACTAGCTAGGCATGAGAAAATAAAGCTCCAAGGGGCCCCGTTCCAATAAAAGGCTGTCAAAAGAAAATCGGAGCCAAGGGGGCTCAAAATTGAGGCTAACGGAAGCAAAATGAGCCCCCTAGGAGCATGGGGGTGCCATTATTGAAGTCCGAGATGTAATGGCCAACAGCTGGTCATGAACGTGGCCATAAATGCGGTTCCAATGCCTAGAAAGGGGGTGCACAACTATTTGACACTTGTCACAGTAAAAATAAAAGAAGAAGAAAAGAAGAAAGTAAAAATAAAAGAAGAAGAAAAGAAGAAAGGGAGAAAATGGAAGGAGAATGAGACAAAATGGGAGAAAAGGGTGGAGGAGAATGTGCCGGCCTATTGGGACTGCTGCAGTAGGGACTGGCAGGTCCCTATGATGACCTCATCCCTCCTAGAATGAGGGACGGCAATCCGGATTGCAGAGATATGACCCTTGGGATCATATCTCCACAATATCTTAATTTAAATGAAAAAAATAAGAAAAAATGCAAAAGGAGAATGACCGGTTTTCTTTTGCACCATGGATCTGAGATTTAGATCCATGGAGGAGATAATATGGCCGTTTTTTATGAGGTCATCACAAACGGCCAACTCCGGAATGAGTTGGCAGCCCAAAATGGAAAGAAACAAAAGGCAGAAAAAGACAAAACTGTGCATTTGGCCCAAACAAAGGACCAGATGCACCAGAAATTGAAAATGTGGGCTTTGGGCCCAAAAACTGAAGCAAGGACCACCATGGGGTAGCTCGGAATAATGCTGGTCTTGGATCTCAGCCTGATCCAAGGCTGAAATTGCACCGCCGTATGGAAAAATGTCCCAGCCTACCCAAGGGAGGCCAAAAAAAAAAAAAGTCGAGAAAAGGCCTACAAGGCTTTTTTTTTTCAAATAGGCTATCTCTTGGGCCTTGGACTCAAGGGGGCAGCATTTTTCAAGGAGCATGAGGCTTGAAAGAGGCCCAAGGGGCCAAAATGAGGCCTAGGTGGCCCCGGACAGGCGTAGTAGTGAAAATTGGCCATGGGGGGTACCTCGGTTCACCATGGGGCACATGGAGAGGCCCATGGGCTGGCAAAGCACTGTCCCCACCCTATATAAGTTGGGGAATCAGTCCGCCGCACTCCCATTTGCATGAGGAGTGCCCATGCTGTCGAGATGAGCCCATGGGAGCACTACACTCACATGGAGTGAAGAGAGGGGAACCCCTGCCAGTTTGGAAGTCTAGAAGGGACTGTGAGCTAGTGTGTAGAGCTCTAGAGGCTGGTGGTAGTGGGGAAGGTGATCCCCCATAACCCCCAGGCTGTGAGGAAGAAGACAAGG